TCTTTCCCAAATTCAAGTAAGTAATACTGGCAAAATCACTATTATGCAAGGTCAAGTGACCTTTATAAAGAGTTTTGTCATGCTTTAAAACAGTTTCATGAAAACCCAGTTTTATTTTCTTTCATATGTTGTAGAACTAGTCTGGAAGAGTATTGTCTTATAAACACTGATCAAGAGAGTTCAGATTGTCTTCACTTCTGCCAATATTTTTTTTTTTTTTGAGTGACTCAAAGGATCCATTTAACACCTATAGAAGCATTGACTGGAGAATGAAAAATGAAAGCAATACCAAGTCCTGATACCTACATTCTGCATTTTTAAAAAAACCCTAAAAAATCTACAGTTTATTTTGTGTTGCCCCAGATGGGTAGAACTCCCCCTGCATTGTACATGTTCTGAACAACTTTGATGGAAGTCTACCTGTAGCTTGGCTGGGCTACTACTGTAGTGAATAAAAGACTTAATGTCTATCGTAACTGTAGTCAATGATAAACTTGTGCAGAGTTAAGTACACAAGAATGTGCTGGACACTATGTGGTATAAAATGTTAACTGTACTGATTCTGGCTTGTCCTAGGCCCACCTTCATAATTTTATCACAAACTGCATACTACAAGTAAGATGATAAAGGGAAACGGCTGTTTTTTGAAAAAGCACTGACAATACACAATTTGAGAGAACAGTTCCAAGATTGGTAGAATGTACATGAAAGTTGTATATACAACTTCTCCCTTGTCTTTCTCCTTCTCAATGTTTCTAAAAGGAAGGAAACATATCTTCTGTATTTCTTAGACAGAAAAACACATCCATATAATTTGTTACACTCAAAAGGAGAAGTCCTAAGTAGTGTACATGAGAGCTCTTCAGGGTTAGCATTCTTCCTGGCATTCATCAAAAATATGAAACTCTTCTGTAAATGTAAATACAGTTAAAAAATTTTTAATTAGTTATCCATTTAAAAGCTATTATGGCAATAATTCTTCAAGTTAATTTTGATAGAGCAGGTTTTTGCACCTTAAACCAGTAAACTTGTTTGAGATTCACATAAGTACATTATTTACAAATGAAAGCAATTTCTTCTCCTAAATTATCAAAAACAAATTGGAGAATTTAGTAATCGAAAGCTCTAGGAGAGGAAGAAAAAGAAAAACATAGATGACACAAAATTACATAAAGAAATTTATATGCTTGGCAATTCACTCCTGTTTTTCTTCAGATGCAACTAAATCTTAATTTTTAAGGCTCATCAATTCAATGTAAGCAAGTGGCCATATATGCCAGGATGTAATTAGGCCAATAAACTCTGTTACTCTGCCAACCATATTTTGGTAACAATAAAGATCCAGAGATCCAAAGGATGCAACACTACACAGTGCTTTGATTACTCTGTCCATTGATATTGTACAGATGGATATTAAAATGAACCCTCTGATCATAAAGCAGAATTACATACTTTTTGATATGATGTTGTTTCAGCTGTGTGAGCATCTTCTTGGTCTTTCAGTACTTTTTGTGTATCAGTATTGAGAGCCTGAAGCTGCTTTATCAGCTCAGCCTGCTGTGCTGTATGTTTAATGTTTTGTCCGTAAAGATTCTGCAGCTCCTGTAACTCCTTCCTGTACAAAACAAGCAATAAAGAGAAATTAAGAAAAAGAACAACAATGACCTCCTTTAAACAACCGTGTTCAAATAATTTTATTGTAGATAATGAGCTTCCTATTTTCATTTATTTTTCTGTCAATTGCCTTATAAACACCAGAAGTTACATATAAAATATTTATCACATACTTTTGTGAAATATCTACAAAACAGTTAAGTTTCAAAATGGAATGCCTTTCAATTTCCCTCTAATGCTCTAACTGCTCTAAAATAAATGGATTTTCACTACTGCATCAACACTTTCTAATCAATATTCAGTTAACTCTTTAGCAGTAAGTGTCAAAATGTAAAATATTTAGAACACATGGACTGTAAAATAAGTTTTTTGGTTTTTTTTTTTAACTAGAACCATCAGAAAAAAGATAAAAGTTTTTCTTAACTTGCAGGCTATGCGCAATGAAAGTCTCTTATCTGAAATGCATCTACTCCCTAGACACACAAAGTATGTCTGCTGATAAATTACTTTTTGTCTGCAGGTACAGCATACTGCAACAACCATAAGCAAAGTAAGAAAACTTTGGTGTGTATTGTATAACATAACAATAAAAGCTGTAAAAATAAAACAATCGGAATCGTGTTGTAATGCAACCACAGGATAGATCTATGAGAATTTTACTGTACTGCTGATAGATCTTATAAATTAAGGTGGAAACGAAGATCAGTAATTCTTACTTATTATAAACAATGACTAAAAACTTGGAATATTTGCTTTAACACACGTTAATAGTTCAGATGATGCTGTTAATCCCTTTTTATATATTTTCTACTTAATTCCCTGTTTAATTCACAAGCACATTTCACAGTATTATTACATGCAGATACTGAAATATAAGTTTATCACTCCAACTAATTTTCTTCCTTACTTCCTCAAAGAATTTTCTTGGTGACATCCAACACATATGTGACTTACCTATCCTAGAACTATCATTAACAGCAAGAATTATCTTTACATTTTTATAAGTCTGCTGGAGATGTCCAGTTAAAGATCAGCATGCAAAAGGTAAGCAGCAATACCAACTTTGTTGTGTTTTCCTGAGAAACCGCAGAATGACAAAGAAACCATTTTAATGGAACTTTACAAACAATATTTCTTAAGACCTGTGCCACTACTTAATATGTTAAATATTCACTAAATGTACATCTGAATAATTATATAAAAATTGAAATTACATGTACCACAATAGCACAGTCAGACAACTTAATGTTGTTAAAAAAGCACTGTTTAAAAAAGCCTATTAACTGGCCAATATAGGAGAACACATAAGGACATGCTTACTTAACAGTAGTTAAGTCCCACTGTTCTCAATGAGATGTAAAGTAGCTCCTCAAAATTAACAATAGTAGAGGTGCATTAAGGACTCTTTATGTAACAAAACCAAAGTACAACTGCAGTATGTACTTCACATGTACCAATTTAATTCTGTTGACAGGCACAGCAGCAGAAATAAGGACACTGATATATTAGCACCTTCTGACACCCTGTACAACAGGCTTCCAAACAAGCACTTGTTTCATTTCCCTGACTGTGAGTATACACTAGAAAATGACACATCTTCGCAATGCAGTTACAATACAGATTATATTAATTTTACAAGGTTATCCAATCAGATCTTTGTTTTGTTGTGGAACGGAAAAACATGGGATAACATCAAATCCCCAGATACTGTTACAAATGTTGGCAGTACCTGTTGCCAAGACCACTTGTATGCAAAGATCCACTCAGTTATCTGTGTCTGTCACCCGAGAATGCACAGTATTATATGTTCTCTAACGGTCTGCCCACAAAGTATATTAAGGTCAAAGGGAATCTTTTTTGTTGACTATATCAGGCCTTGAGTCATACCCTAAAGGGGAGGGGATTAGCGGGGGGCGGGGAGCTAAACCTTGCAGCCACCCAAGAACTGCATCACAGTCAGAACATGTTTACTCAAGTGAAATTCAAGGATTTTCAAATATAAGGAAACTTGGTCACAGTTCCATTACACCACATTTTAAAAATCAAACTTTATTTCTTCATACACATATACTGACTTGCATTTATTTTTTTTTTTTTAGTAAAAAGTTATACAAACCAAAATAGCTGAAATCTGAAAAATTCTTGAGACACAGAAATACACAACCACTGTATTTAACTTGCAGTTGTATGTTACAGCTGCTTTTACACTCTTCAGTGAATGAGGTACTATTTTTATATTGTAAATCCACAAGGGGAACCTTCTTTTATTTAATTTTTACACAGAAAGGAGGAAATTATGCTCAATCTTAGCAGGAATTACTCAGTGCCAATGGTGCAATACAAATAAATTCAGAGAATGAAGCACCTTTGATAACAGAGAGGGCAACTTGGTGAAGGGAGCTTTAAACTAGGAATGGCGGAGGACAGAGATGTTGACCAAGTAACGAGCAAAGGAGCTGCAGTGGGGCTGGCCAGCAAAGGGCAGAGGTTGGTATGGACGGCAAAGACCTTGTGATGAACAAAACATGGCTCAGGGAGGACTACCTCAAGCATATGCACATCAATAAGGGAGTGCTGACAGGACATCAGTATGAGGGAGGCTCTCAAGAGTCCTCCTGGCAAATAAGGACAACTGGGTGTCCATCTGAAGTTGCTGTTCAAAGGCACGCAGCATGTCCCCACCCAGGATGACAGGAGGAATTAGAGATCTGTTTGCAGTTTCAGGGCTCATTGGGATCACAGAGACAACGTGGGATAACTCACATGACTGGAGCGCTGCCATGCATGGATACAGGCTCCTTAGGAAGGACACGCTGGGATCGCAAGAAGTTGCCCGTTATGTGGATGGGTAGTGTACATGGATGGAGCTCCGCCTTGGGATGGGCAATGAGCCAGCTGAGAGCTTGTGGGTCAGGTGTGGGCAGACCAGTGTGGAAAGCAACTTGTCAGAAAATGCCCTGGAGACCCTGGTGGACACCAGGTTGACCACGAGCCAGTGATGCGCCCTTGTGGCAAAGGCCAATGGCACCCTAAGCTGCACTGAGAAGACGGTTGCCAGCAGGGTGAGGGAGGTGAGCCTTCCGCTCCATGCAGAAGTGGTAAGATGCATCACGGTGTTGTGCCCAGTTCTGGGCTGCCCAGTACAAGACAGACACAGACCGGAGTAAGTCCGGTGAAGGACGACAAAGATGATGAAAGGATTGGAGCACCTGCTATACATAGAGAGGCTGACAAAGCTGGAACTGTTCAGCATGGAGAAGGAAAAGCTCAGGGGGATACTTTCAACACGTATAAATACCCGATGGGAGTCTGTAGAAGATGCAGACAGACTCTTCTCAGTGGTGCCCAATCACAGGAAAAGAGGAAACAGGCACAAATTAAAAAACACATGCAATTCCAGTTAAACGTAAGAAAAATGTTTTTATCCTGTAAGAGTGGTCAAACTGGAACAGGCTACCCAGAGAGGTTGCAGAGTCTCCATTCTTGAACATACTCAAACTCGACTGGACACCATCCTAGGCAGCCTGTTGTAGCTGATATTGCTCGAGCACAGGGCTGGACCTGCTGGAGCAGTGGGACTACACAATCTCCAGAGGTGTCTGCCAGCCTCAGCAACTCAGTGATTCTGTGTGATTCTGTTACTAATTTGCTTGCAGCATGCTCGAAGAGAGTATACAAAATCAACCCCATGACAATCAGAAAAACAGCTACAAGATAAAAATGAATTTCTGATCCAAATATCTATTAATATGCTTACCCAAATCAGCAAACTACTAAGCACTCTACAAGAGAGACACCTGCCTGTCACTGCAGCAGGATAAGGATGTCAAGTCCTAAGTAAAATGACACTCTCAGGTGAGCACATAACAGAAGGAATAATCAAAAATTGCAAATTGGATGTAACAAAGGTAATGAGTGGCTTTTAAAATATATGTGCCTATATACACACCCGTATATATGTATGTATATATGCATCTATATGTACATAGACAGATATGTAGAAATACATACATCTACACATAAAATATACAAATGTGGATGTGTATATGTATGCATACAAGTGGGATATATGTATACAAATATAAGCACATATTGATAAAATGTTTCGATATACTGTACACTGTAAACACGCACACAAATTTAATATAGAAGTCACCATCAGCAAAACTGATCAGAAAAAACAATATTGTCTCAGCAAAGCACCAAAATTGAAACATCTATTAGGTCTATTTTTTCCCCACCACCCCCACCCTTCCCATAAAAAAACACACCATGATACACTGAGAGTATTTAACTCTGTTTAACATTGAAGTCACCAGATATTACTACTAAGAAAAAAAAAAACAACACCTCTCTGTCTCTAATCTAACACCTCAAGACCAATACAATGGGAAAGCAAGAAATTTACAGAAAGTGAGCTGCACTCTTCAAGTCACAAGAAAGAGCCAGCTATGAAAAACAGTCAGGTTTTTCTCAAGTTGAAATACAAGAACATAACAAAGTTATTTTGGCCACTAAAGTAAGACTACAATAACCTTAGTACATTTTGCTTTAACAATTGAAAGGTTGACACTACATGAAGACACTACAAACTGGACTGCAGCAAGACTCAAAGATTTGACACCTGGTCCTGCCAATAACAATATTTAAGATTCATACTATTGTTTAGGGTAGAGATAGTTCTGGTGCTCACATCTGACAAGAGTGTGAACTAAGGTTTCCTCCTATCCTTGGAGGATAATATTAAATAAAACCTTTATGTCCTGCACATACCAACAGTTTAAGAGTAAACTGTGGCTTCCCAGAGATGTAAATGAAATGAATAGCTACTGTCACTCCAGAAGCTATATAACTGTGCTGCAAATAGAGTTAATATTCATCACACCCACCACTTCAGGGGATGTTGGCTTTGTTTCACCACCACAGTTTTGGTGAATACACTGGGATTCTGAGTACCTCAGCTACCCCTGTTACCAAGGGAATATAAGAGGGTTTAGGGTAATTCAGGAAATCTCTAGATTCCATTACCTGTAGTTTAGAAATACAACACAGTGACAGGCACTATGAATTATGGCTTCTCAGGGGAATGGCATAGATACTATGAAATGGTTTACAGCACACAGCAAAGAATAACCTGAAAATCCCAGAGCAGCAAAATAAGGGCTGAGTAGAAATCTGATTGCCTCATAATTTACAGCATGGAGGTAAACATCAAGCGGAGGGTGGAAGCAATATTGTAACAAAAGAATTAGTTGTAAAATAATCAGGAATAGATTTGGACTAGAAATTAATCAAAGGAATGAAGTCCTGGCACACCCTTCCAGTAAGAACACAGGGGCAAGAAATTCTAATTCATTTTAGAATAGAGCTTACTATATTCACAAACAGTTTAGTATTTCCTGGATACCTGGGACAGCAAGGCTCAAGTCTCAGTGATTCAAGCAAAACTCTCCAGTTTGATGTTCAGAGTTCCACCAGATCTCTGTGACAGTGAGACACAGACCACCAACTGCTCAACAGTAAACAGAAAGTTCTAAATCCTGATATTTAGCATAATTTTAAAAGAAAAATTGCAGAGATGCATTGCAGTTAATTTTCAGAAACAAACAGCAAGATTTAATGTTCTTCAAGAACATGAAAATGGAAAGGCTACCAGGGACTCTAAATAGATCCAGAAAATCTGCAGTGAATGCAGACATGAAGAATATGACAAGGAAATGCATTTCAAAGCTTCTTCAGGAGTTTGAAATTAAACCCAGTGAGATCAAGAATGCTTTGCAAAAATACAGCCAAAGAAAGGTGGTGGCTTCTTGAAGGCATCTGCTGTGGAGGATGGATCGTGCAAATACTGTCTGTTCACTGACCTTAGAAAATTTATCTTCCACACCTCAGAAGTACGTGACGGACTTTTACTGACACTGGGTGGGATTTTCAAAAGCACCTGCTATTCTGTAAGACCAGAGTTAGACTGGAGTACTTCTTCAAAATTTTGGTCCCAGCTAATTTGATGAAAAAGACTGCCCCTTAAAGAAAACAGTTCTTTTAGTGTCTTACAGACACAGTTACTGTTAAACTGAAAAAAACTCTTGCTAACAAACTGACAGATAAAGAAGTTATGATTGCATAAGAATCAGAGCACGAGACCAGTTTGCACATAGACCCTTAGAGACTTTCTTTTCCAATTGATTTTAGCATCTACTGTAAAAATTTCATACAGTATTACCAAGGTGCCAGCTGAAAGACTATTTTTCTGGATCTGCCTATACTGCATATGAAAGAAGACACCAAATGAAGGAAGGCAGTTTCCTTCCTTTCTTCCTCTAGAGCTTGTTTCTAATAATTACAACTGTGCTCCTGGTCTGTTTTCAAATCAGGGAAGGGTGAGAAAGGCAGGCAGGCAGCAGACAGGGAGAGAGAGACAGAGCAGTGGGAAGAACAGAGAGATTTGCAAATCAGATTGTCTTTCTCAGCTCCAAAAGTTTGAAATTGATGATGGGAAACTGGAGATAGTAAGGCAGATGGGGTATTTTCCAGACTATTTGTCACAGAATTTTCTGCCAGCATTAAATGAAAACTGAGCATTCAATGTGATACTTTCATAAGACTAAGTTTTAAATAAGGATAACAAAAAAAAAAATCAGTTAAAAAAAAGGAACAACCAAATGCTTCAATCATGAAGTCAACACAGTTCTAAGATCTTGGCCATCCCTTGAAGATGAGAAGGTGTAAAGACTTAATCTTCCCATCAGATTTTTTCCTTTAATTCTGGAGTTGTTGCTTTCTTTAACTTAAGTAAGAGTTGGCTTTTGTCTACATAGACTTTTATTATTTTTACTTTCTTTTTTTCATTAAGAACCAATAGAAAAATAGTTTTACCTATGTACTGACACCTTGAGAAGGTAAGGAGAAGCTTCAATACTCTGTATTACAAAAAACACAGAATACTTTAAAATCTTAGTTTCTATTGCTAACTACTGAAACTACTGCCTGAAACTGTGAATTTTATACAATAAGCCATTTAGCATAAGCCTTCTTTTTTCGTAATAGAAATGTCAACAAGAAACTTGTAGCCAAAGACAGTTCACTAAGAAAGATTAGGAGACACTGAATTACAATGATACTGATCATAGAATCATAGAATGCTTTGGGTTGGAAGGGACCTTTACAGGTCATCTAGCCCAACGCCCCTGCAGTGAGCAGGGACAGCTTTAACTACATCAGGTTGCTCAGAGCCCCATCCAACCTGACCTGGAATGTTGCCAGGGATGGGGCCTCTACCACCTCTCTGGGCAACCTGTTCCAATGCTTCACCACCCTCATTGTAAAAAATTTCTTCCTTATGTCTAGTCTAAATCTATTCTTGAGTTTAAATCCATTATTCCTTGTTCTGTCACAACAGGCCTTGCTAAAAAGATTGCCCCCATCCTTCCTATAGGTCCCCTTTAAGTACTGAAAGGCTGCAATAAGGTTTCTCCACAGCCTTCTCTTCTGTAGGCTGAAAAACCCCAACTGTCTTTGCCTGTCCTTGTAGGAGAGGTGCTCCAGCCCTCGGATCATTTTGGTGGCCCTCTTCTGGACCCGCTCCAGCAGGTCCATGTCCTTCTTGTGCTGAGGGCTCCCGAGCTGGACGCAATCCTCCAGGTGGGGTCTCACCAGAGCAGAGTAGAGGGGCAGAATCACCTCCCTCGACCTGCTGGCCACGCTTCTTTTGATGCAGCCCAGGATAAGGTTGGCTTTCTGGGCTGCAGGTGCTCATTGCTGGTTCATGTCCAGCTTTTCATCCACCTGTACCCCCAAGTCCTTCTCCACAGGGCTGCTCTCAATCCCTTCACCCCCCAGCCTGTATTGACATCGGGGGTTGCCCTGTCCCAGGTGCAGGACCTTGCACTTGGCCATGTTGAACCTCATGAGGTTCACACAGGCCCACCTCTCCAGCTTGTCCAGGTCCCTCTGGGTGACATCTTGTCCTCCTGGTGTATCAACGGCACCACTGAGCTTGGTGTCATCTGCAAACTTGCTGAGGGTGCACTCGATCCCACTGTCTATGTCATTGATGAAGATGTTAAATAGCACTGGTCCCAGTACGGACCCCTGAGGGACCCCACTTGTCACCGGTCTCCATGTGGACATCGAGCCATTGACCACGACCCTCTGGATGCGACCATCCAGCGAATTTCTTATCCATCGAACAGTCCACACATGAAACCCATATCTCTCCAATTTAGAGAGAAGGATGTTGTAGGGGACTGTTGCGGGGGATCAAATACATACAAATATATAACCTCTGATGTATAACTCACATACTAGCAATATGGAAAAATACTATCATTCATCATAATACCAGTTAAGTATTTAGGAAAAAAACATTTGAGCACACAGAAAAACATATATGATCAGTTTGCCAAACTCTTTCCATAAATTTAGAAGTTTGTTTGTATGGAAAAACATACAGAAAGAGACTTCTAACATTTCAAAGTATGTTGTCCATCTTTTTGTTACATCAAGTTCAGACCTTATGTTCAAAAAAAGTACTTATTTTAATTACATATTTGAACAAGAAGCCTGTGACATATTCTAAGAGGTTGTTTTGCAGTGAATAGCAAAGAATACATTTTGAGAAACTTTAAGTTCAATGATTTGGCCAACTCAGTCTGCAATATCCTAAACTCCAACCAACAAGCAGTAACTTTGCAAACCTTGATTACCTGACTTTAAAAATGTCTTCTTTGTTGTCACTAGTCCTCTCACATGTATATATTTCTGAGAATAATTTCAGAAAATAATAAAGCCTATTAGTTGATTAATGAATTTCACAAATTCCAGCGATTGCCTCTTTCAGTATAATTTCCCATTAAAATTGCCTATTTTTATTGACTTTTGAAAACCCAACCATTACACCTTTTAAATATGAAGATAACAAGACATCATTTTTCCTGTAAAGATTTCAACAAATACTAGGACAACAATTTAGGTCAGAGGCATCAAAAATCATATTTCTAGGTTTTTTTCCCCAAAAGACTTAGATACTTACTCCCTACAGTAAAACTATTTCTGCTTGGAAAGCAAAGAGGAGTGTCCATACCAATGATTTCTGCATCCCAACTGCAGTTCTTCAGACATAACCACAGTTTGAGGGAACATTGAAGGGAATATTATTTGCCTAACACAGGAGTGATAAACACTGTGCATGCCTCTGAAACTAAGAAGTGAAAAATGGACAATTTCCTGACAATCCACTTAAAGTTACAGTTATTCTGTCATTACCTTCACTTTGAGGAATTCAGTAGTCCAGTAAATTCACATAATTCATTCCATCCTTCATTTCTTTTCCACAAGTCAAATAATGCAGCACTAATCTTACATATTCAATGTAAAGAAATGGTGTGTGAGACCTAAGATAAAGCTTAAATAACTGCACTTTAAACCTTTAGCACAGGCCTATGTAGACTTTTGCTGGCTTGCAGAATTTAGTCTAATTAAAAAGTTAAAGTTAGGCATAAAGTTTAGTGCATTTAGCCTCTCCAATTAAATGTTTACATCACTAATCATATTAGTATTTTGTTACTTTCACTGGAGATTGGTAGTTCTCTGACCCAATGCTAATTACAGAAGTGTAATTTTTAAAGTCCATCCCTACTCAAAAGCTGACAATAATATACTAAGAGTCAAAATATATCAGAGGGTCTACATAAACTGTCATCTACTGGTAGACTTCCAAAATCTTTACAACTTGCAGAACAGAATGGTAAGAAAATACACTGTTGCACAAAAATACCTCTAATGCAAGATACTGCTTTGTAAGGGGAAGACCAGTCTTCTTGAGAAGATTCAGACTTAAAGGTAATGAAATCATGAAATACTTACTTAGCTCTGACCACATCACAGTCCTTTTGAGAGAGTTCTTCCTGTTTCACAGCTACCTGAGATGACAAGTTACTGCATATACCGTGCAACTCTTTCATTTGTTGTCTTGCCTCTGCTAAATCAGTTTCCAAATTCTGCAAAGAAAGCATTTGAAATGTATTAAAGATAATATATAAGAAAGAGTTAAAATCCACTATGCATGTTATCTATGTCTACAGACATAGGGATGTGCACATACATACATATATTTATTGTGGTCTAAGCAAATACATATAGGTATATGTGCATGTTTGTGTGTATGAAAAACGTGAAATACCAGTGAAAAAAGGTATATTTAAAATTTTAGGTGGCCACCTATTCTTTACTGCAGGAAGTTTCCCTTAATTTGTTTGCTGCATGTGGAAGGTGAATCCTCAATCAAATCTTTGCAAAGCAATAGTACGCTCTTTAACTACTGAACTGATTAAACTGGTTTAGCCTTGTTTTCTGTGTAGAAATCAAATAGAAAAAACCTACTCCTAACAAAAACCAGCTATACATTCATTATTTTAAGTTCTCCAAAAATTGCACAATATTGCACAAAAGAACTAAGAATCATGGATAACAGATTCATTTTTGAGACTGCTTGTTAAATCTGCTCCAGTTTTGCACTTCTGATTCAGTGCAAGGAACAGTTTCTTCAGGAAAAGAAATAGCATACAAGAAAACTTCTGGAAATGCTCACTGAAAACAATGTAAACAAACAATAGTTTGCCTTTTACAGTAAGCCTTACTGTAGAAGTTAGTCAGCAATGTGTGAAGGTGTATCTGGGAAATATAGCAGTAAGGCAGCTTAGTCAAACAAGACTTTGATCTCTACATAGTGACCTTACTAGAGGTCTCTACAGGTTTAGCATCTTAGAAGAGTACTTCAGTCCTTAAGCAGCTTTGTATGACTATTCTCCCAGAGCGTTTTGGGGCAAGAATAGAAATAGAAATATTACAGCAATATCTAGTGCAGAGTTTCAGAAGGTGGCAATGGCCTGAGACCTGCTTTGGTATTATGCTACTTACAGACATAACCACTTGTTCTCAGTAAGGCAAATATTCCAGGATTCATTAATAATTTAAACTAAATACCTCCTAGTAGGATAGCATCCCTAATCTACTGCCAGCAGCATATTAGTTTATCTTCCATTTACATACAGACTTAGTTAAAGAAATAAAGAAATGCACATTTTTCCCTTTCAGCAAAGATGTCTCAAATACTGAAGGTAAAACATTTTTATAACTGAAAAGCAAATCGTTAATTGTCTCTCTTTAAAATAGCATATAAATGTCTTATACATATGTGGATGTATCAAAGTGTACTACAACCAAATTCTTTGAACTTGGACAAGAATTATCATGTCCTGTTAGTAACAGTAACATGAATGTAAGGAAATAGCTAAAGTCATGAGTGAATGAGGTAGGAAAACTGTTTTTTTTCATGATAAATCTCAGGTTATATACCTGGTGTACCCGACTAACGAGTCATCATTCAATCTCAAAGGCTGGGTAGCAAAAATTATTTTCTCTCAGAGAACAGGAGACTTTAGAATAATAGGAGACAGTTAATTCTATAACCTCATGAAAATGTTGAAGTGTAATAAAGTATTTATAAGTTACAGCCAAATAATCTTAGGGTTTCTCCTCAGTGTTTTTTTTTCCACAGCAGCTAAAAGTTATTGTATATGTGAATACAATGATAATAGTTCACATTTTCTGTGAATAAATCCTATTTGCCTAGCTTTCACACCACACCACAGAGTTATCATGGAATCACAGAATTGTTTAGGTTGGAAAAGACCTTTAAGATCATCCAGTTCAACCATTAGCCTAACATTACCAAGTCCACTACTAAACCAATTAAGGGTAGAGTAGCAATTTTGTGTTTCCTGCCTTGGTGGCTGGATTATTTATAATGAAAGTAAAAACCAGGAATCATTAAGATTGGAAAGGACCTCGAAGTTGCAGAGGTTTTTCATGAATAGAGATTAAAAAAAAATTCTGATCTTACCAATGCTTAAGTTCCCATCAACCATTGCAGGGTACAATATAAAGAATATGGAAGAAATTATTTTGTCATAAATACAACTTTGGAACTTATACAATGGCAGAATTTAAAAACAGAAAAAAGTTATCTTTCAGTACTTCACCCCATTTGTGACACATGTGACGTCAGATTTTGATTTCAACTAACAAATTAATCAGTTCAACCTTTTCAACTGATTTTGAAACATTGACTGTTTTGGAAATCAGAAGCATTACTGAAAGGGCAAAACAAAAAAAGGGGCAAGGAGGGACTGGTTATACAAATAGCTTATATACTGAAATATCATCTATTGAGACATTCAGTAGAGCTTTTGTACATATGTCAGAAATCTGAGATTATGAAATAGCCTATAATCTTTTATACTTAATTTCTGAGTATCTCCATTTTTTAAAATCACGTGGAATTTATTATGTTGCCTTTTAGTTGATACAGTAGCTGAGAAGGTAGTTTCATTGCATAAACATGCAGACTAAAAGTTTGCTATATGTAAATTATCCTAAACCTGATTTTCAAATTAAAGCTAGTTTCAGTTGTACATAGACTGTTTAGAATTCAATCTTTTAAAGCATATTAAAGCAAAGTGCTATTTAAAACACAGTAAGTCAAAGCATCTAATAATTCAGTTATATGAGGAAGAAAATGCCTATTTTACAGAATAATACAAGACACAGTAAAAGATACAATACTTCTTTATAACATTACTGAAAGTGAAGCATGAAAACTAAGTCTAGTCATTATTTCTAGCCATGAAAAGTGGTGATCCTAAGTAAAATGAAATGAAGATAAATACCAGAATAACAATTTACGGTAAAACATTACAGAAAGATTTTGATCACTTCAAAACCAAGAACTATAAATTCAGAAAAATCAGAGAAAAGGTGAATTTGAAAGAAATTCAAACATGAAAAGCATAACACACAGACAAGGCATGAGGCAGCGTAGTTGTGCACAGATTATGGACTGACTGTCAATACTAAGGTTTTGTTATTTGTAGCTTCAAACCTTTAGAAAGTCACTTTCAAATACAGTAGCTTTTTTTCATGTTTTTTCTTGTTATGTATTATGACAGAAGTGAGAGTATTTTTTCAAGGTCCCATCTCAATAAAACTCTCATTTTTTAGTGGAACTAAAATCCCAGGCTCCTCTTGACAGAGATGGCTGCTTCTCAAGAGTGTTTCATTTTAAAAGAGAACACCTCTCCCTGTTTCTTTAAAAGCCCCCATCTTCAGACTTTGCCAACTAGAAAAATAAAAAAAAAAATTTAAAAAAAAGTAAGCAATTCTACATTCTTTTAGGTCACTTCCACTTAAAATCTGCCAGTCTGACATTTTTTGTGTCTAGATACAAAGCCTTCTGTGACTGTCCGAATTTGGGAAAATATACATTCTTATTAAGCAATAACTTAAGTAACCTCCGCCCAAAGAACAATGAAATAATTCAAACGCCTAATTCATTCTTAAATATGGAGACACATTCATGCATAAGTTGGCTGACTGACAGCTCCTCCACTCTTCCTCCAGAAAGCTGATATAAGCCCTGGGAAGCATGGAAGAGTAATTCACAAGAACTACTTCAAGGCAGAGAGCAAAGCCCTATGTTGCTTTTTTGTACACTGTACATTATCTATATGAAGCTGTATATGGGAAAGACAAACAATAAAACACAATTGCCACCCTTTTAGCCACCTTATCAGGTCTCTCCCTGTTAATCTGCCTCACTCTGATTTTGGCTAATATGACAAATCTTTAAAGAAATATTCCTTAAATGGATGAAGTAGCCATAGAAGTTTTTTCTCTCAAATTGAAAAAGTTTAATTTTATACGCCAATTCAGCTTATAGTAGGTCTGGAAACAACCAGCCTTTGAAAGTGACAAGTGACACTTTTCTGCACAGAAAATGGTTTAAAAACTGAAAAAAAAAAAAGGGCTAGTAACACTTAGTTCAGTCTCTGAACAGAAGGCCACTTTTCCAAAAGAAGAATCTGTTATTTAGACCTAGCATTTCTACCATCTAATACACATTTTAAAAACATTGGGGTAGCTTACATTAATATAGGAGACTAACATGAATAGTGTCTGTATGCATCATCTATAATACTGTTAATTACTGGAAGACATGTACAAAATGCTGGTTCAACTCCCAAACTAAAGGCTGAGAAGCAGAACTGACTTTCAGAAGGGGATACAATTTCTCAATTCAAATTATTTTTATCTATAACCATTTTTACAATCACTTGAGAAAAACAATACAATTCCATTATCGAATTTGCTCATAAATTACTTTTTAAAAGCATTTCAGGGACATGTTATATTGGGGTGCATATATTAGAACATCAACTGCAGCCCAATATCATGTAGTGTGATAATGTCATATTTGGCCTCTGTGGACAAGGAAATTATTATTCTTTATTGTTTATAAGCATCCTGTTAAGAGCCAATCCAGCATCCAATATTGATTCTTCAGTGTCGAGTAATAGAAATGGGGAATGTCAGGAACAGAGGGAGAAATTAATTCAAACTGAAACTTAAACATTCAAGCAAATATTTACAGGAAGACTATATGTAAAAACAGTGATGAACTGCAAAAATAACTTTGTGTGTTTTTACAAATTACTATTTTACAAAAGAGTGATAAAAAACAATGAGACAACATATTACTACTTCCTAGAGGTCAAATATAACATTTTTCTCCTGCAGATAGTATTTTTAATATGCTTCTGCAATAGTCTCGTGAGATAATCAACTTCACCTAAATTCTGTCCACTAGCAAAGGTGTATAGTCACTTGTCTAACATCACAGAATAGACCAGGGGGCGGGGGGAGAAGCTGGAGCATCAGACCCATGGACACATGCAGGCTGGTAGGGACCAGGGGAGGTCTCCAGTCACAGCCCCTGCCTGAAGCAGGTTCAACCAGGGGGTCCGACCAGGCTGCTCAGGGCTTTACAAAATCAGGGGTTGAAATCTCCTAATGATGGACTTACCCCAACCTCCATGGGCTTCAGCCCCACTCCAGGGCTGTCCTCCTGGGGAAAAAGCTTCTTCTTATCTCCAGCCTCAGCTTTTCCTGTTTCAGTTTGTGCTGCCTCTCACCCTTCTGCTATGCAAAGCTGTGAAGAGCCTGGCTGCATCTCCTCCATCCCCTCCTGCTGGTGCCAGAGATGCTGTTGGATGGTCCCAGCCCCAGACCCATCCCTTCTTCTGGCTGAACCAGTTTGTCCCACAGCCTCTCCTCACAAGGCAAGGGCTCCAGCCCCACTGTCTCACCTCCAGCTCGTTTACTGATATCTTTCTTGTACTGCACACAAAAATTGGTGCAGTATCTAGAATACAGAGTAAAGGGGGTCAATTCCTCCCCTGGCTCTCAGCGCCATGCCCTGCTCATGCTTCTCTAGGCGCTGCCGGCCCTCGTTGCTGCCCGGGTGCATGGAGCTGGCCCCGATAGAGCTTGCTGCCTGCCAGTGCCCAGGGCTGTCCCCCAGAGGAGATCCCAGGCCTCTGTATGGCTGCAGGGCTCTGCCTTCCCAGGGCAAGGCTCATCATTTGTCCCAGCTAAGGCTTCTATTGGCCCATTTCTGTCAAGGTCCCCCTGGATGGCAGCAGAGCCCTCAAGTTCATCCACATCCCCCAGTTTGGTGTCATCTGCAAACTTGACAGGTATGCCCACTGTCCCCTCTTCCAGGTCACTGATAAAGATTTTAAACAAGACAGGTCCAGGATAGATCCTGCAGTACACCACTTATTACCAGCCTACAGACAGAGTACAACCCATTAACTACAGCTCTCTGAACCCACACATCCAAATAATTCTTTTAAACATGTTGCTGTCCACCTATCCAGCTGTAACATCCTAGCTTGGCTGCAAGAATACAGCAAGCTAGTATCAAAAATCTTGCTCAAGTTAAGGTGAATCACATCCAAGCCGTCTTCTTGTCTATGGACACAACCATTTTATCACAAAAGACAATCAGGTTGCTCAGGAAGAATTTGCCCTTGGTAAATCCAAGATTTTTTCTGGTCACTTTCTCGATTATGTGCCCAGAAATTACTTCCAAGACAACTTTCTTTGTGATTTTCCCAGGAACTGAAGTGAGGCCAACTAACCTTTGTTCTTGGATTATCCTTTTCATCAGGGACCTCCCATGATCTCTATACTACTTTTAGGCAGCAGCCTAACAGTGACATCAGCCAACTCTCTCAGCACCCTTAGATGGAGTTCAGATGGTCCAATGGATGTGTACTAGTCAAGTTCTCTCAGGTATCTCCCAACTCATCCACTCTTAGTACTTCTCCTTTGAACTCTGCCTCTAGGCACAAATGCTTGAGGGAATCTTGTTGGAGAAAACAGAGGCAAAGATGACACTCAGTACCTCTGCTGTATCTATTACCTGCTGCCACTAATTCATCCTTCCCTTTCAAGCAACAGGCCCCCATTTTCCTTGTTCAGCCTTTTACTACTAAAGTAGTGCAAGAAACTCTTGTTATACCTGTCATCACTTACCAATCTCAACTGTAGGTAGGTTACCACCATTCTTGAGTGCCCAGACAACGTTTCTGAACTTCTTTGTAGCTTTCACTGTTTCCACTTCCTGAACACTGCTTTCCACCCCTGCCCTACACTGGAGTTTGGTGATTAATTCTGTTTAGCCAAGCTGGTCTCCTGATACATCTACTTGTTTTCCTGAGTATCAGAGTGGACCATACTTGGGCTTGGAGGAAGCCGTCTTCAAAGACTTGATAATTTTCCTGAGCTCTTTTACCTTTATGTGCTGCTTCTCATGGGATTCCCCCTACCACTTCCCTGAACAAGCTGAAGACTCTCCTCCTTAACTCCAGGTCTGTACTGTGCTACCCTCCTCCCTTCATCTTCTCAGCATCTTGGTCTTCACAATTTCATGGTCACTATAGCCAAGATTGCCATTGATTATTATTTCCTTAATCAGTTCTTCCTTGTTTGTGAACAGCCGATTCAGTGTGTCATTCCTGATTGGCTCAGGGAATACCCATCTCAAGAAGTTATCTCTATCATGCTCTAGACACCACCCTGACCTGCTTGTCACCCCACTCTGAAACACCAACACTACTTATTCCCATCCCTGGAATTGCATGGCTGTGATGCACCTTTCTCTCGTGAGCATGCATTATCAGCCAGGAAGACAGATATGCCAAAAATTATTCTGACTGTTTTCATTGAAGGTGTGGGTAACAAAGATTTTCAGTAATTTATCCAATATTACAAGCACTACATTTGACAACTTGAAAATTATTAAATCAGTTTAGTACGCACTAGATTTTCTCCCCCAAGTATCAACAAACCATTTGTTGTCCTGGGAATCCTATAATCCTTTCATCGTAACTGCTCCAAAGGCCTCAGTTTGCAAGAACTTTACTTCCCATGTTAACAGATCTGAATGAAGCTCTCTAAAAAGGGTTTCCATCAGCACAACAATCAGAAGTGTCACCAAAACCACTGAATTGCTAGTGGAGGAAAAAAGACGTTTCTGGGCAAGATGTTGACTAGGTGGTTACTACACTGAATATACCAGAAGGTCATGTACTTTGATAGTGTAAAAGAGCATAGCGTTGTAAGTGTTCATTATCCATGTAAATAAAAAGAATCCACTAAATAGGCATGTATATAAGCAGCCATCAAACCCTTTGATACCATGTTTGTTGCTTACTTCTTACAGGAATTTAAAAAGAACTTGCCAAGTTTCAACAGCAAACAAGACAAAGTATCATTTAAATAAAAGATACAATATTCTATACAATGTATTCAATTATATCCTTCTTCACTTTATCATAAACAGTGAAAAAAAAACTTTTTAATATATTATATGCAATAGTAAGGCCTCTCACAGAGTGGAGCCCTCTGGAGGCTAGGACACAATTTATTCAAAACTGCATTTATAGTTTTAAAGTTTTCTTCCAAAACAACAAATACCAAGTCTACTGCAATCAAATTATAGGTAAGTAAATTATACATTGAGAAAAAACTGTGAATGATAATACTTCTAAGCTTTTATTATTTCACATATACATATATTTTATCCTAAAATACAGTATCTTTTATTTTTTAATGATTACATTTTAAGATTACTATTTGAAGTCAGATTCCTGCTTTGCAACATCAATTTTTAAAAAGCTGTGGGTCTTAAGTGAAGGAATGTAAATGAGTGCAAGTCCCCACTGGTAGATTTGAATATATAACTTGTTATTTAAAAAAAATAACTTGTAGTGCAAATGTCTGGAGAAGTTAACACTGAAATAACATCCAGGAGTCCATTCCACTTCGTACCTTTATTCTGGCATCATTGCCAGATTTTTCCATTTTCCATTGTGCCTCCTGCTTCCTCAGTTTCTCCAGGTCATTTAGCAGGTCAGCACAGCATGTATTTAATCCCTTATTTTCCTCCTCCAGGTTTTTTATAACCAGTCTGTTTTGCTCTTCCTTCTTCTGTGCACACTCCTCAGTGTCCTGTAGAACAGTACCACAAGGGCCGATAAACAAAAAAAGTGAGAACTAATCAGCAAATATAAACTGTGCAGTTTTACCCTCGCAGCAGCTTCTTCTATATTTGATGGCCAAGGTCACCTGTGTACTTTTATTGGCCTCTTTCATGCAGGTGGAAGGGTCATATTTTTTAGCTGGATGACAGCTTTGATGAGTACACATTTGCAAAGAGCCCATTAATTGATCAAGCTGCCTTTGATGCTGTCCCCAGCTATTTTTGAGACCCACACAGACATATCCTCCCAGACCTTGGCTTTATCAATTAATAATGCCAGTCCCATCAGAATCTAATTACAAGAAGCCACATCTTCACACTCCTACTTTCTTTGCTCCATTTCCATCATTAACTATTTATCTGAAAGTTATAAAGCTTGGATTCTTGGCTTTAAAGCATCTTCCTCCGAGTTGGTATGTGAGAAAATGGTAAGGTATAGCAAGGCCTAAGGCAATTTTTTCTCCAAGCTTGTCACTTTCTGTGCCACAAAGGCTGACATTGCTTAAAGAACTACTTCAAAGCTACGGTCTTATGAAACTATGTACAAGTCAATATACCTTAAGTTCTTGGCTTTTATCTTTAAATTTCTGGTTCAAGTTACTGAATTCTTTCTTCAAATGGGCATTTTCCTCATCCACAGCAATTTTTCTCTGTATTAAGTTGTTTATCTCCTGCTGCTGTCCTGTGAGTTTCTATTTTAAAAAAAAAAAAAATCTGTTAATAGACAAAAAGCAATTGTAAGGGGACGTGCATGTACTGGATTTTAGACCTGTGCATTTTAGACCTATGAAATGTAACATTCTGATATATGTAGTTTTATAGCATTATTTTCATTTCATTAGTACTTTAATCAGACTCAAAACTGCATGACTATATGACACACTAGCATAAACAAGGAACTGAATATGTTGCTGTTACTAAACAAAAGAGCTCGTAAATGCAGAACGGAATGGAAATTATTCAGTCAAGCTTAGACAAAGACAGTCATTTGCAGAAACTATATTTGTGGTTACGGATTAAGAAGACATCAGAATGCTGTTTCACTAGCACTTTTAGCATACCAAAAATCAAGCCAAAAAGTAGAGTTCAAAATTCTCCAGAATTCCTGAAGATAATGAGAAATTAAGTGAGGCAACCGAAAAGACTGTGATACAAAATAGTTGTAGAAAGGGAATTAAGTCTAACTGAATTTGCAGCTCAAGGAAAATACAACAACTCTGTTCAACACAGACAACAGTTTAGTGTACCTATGCATAGTAAAATCTTACTGCCATCAAAAAAATAACTTCAACTTTCTGTGTTAGATACTTGCATTCTATTCTTATGATGTTCATATTAAAATGCCCTCACTCTCCAATGCACATTAGAACCCTGCATTTTTCTTCAGGAGTCTGTTTTAATTCCACTTACTGTTTTGTCCCTTCCCTTCCTAAATCAAAATGGCATTTATCTAAAACATTTTCCTACCAGTAAGGCTGTAACTGTAGTAAGAAACAGATGAAACTTAACTCAGGACAAAAATGCCACTGCTTTGCTTTTAATATACAAGTTAAATGTAATGTGTTCAGAAACATAAAAAGTTATCAACAACAGAATATACCTTTGGATCATTCTACAATACTGCTGATAACATGATAACATACATAAAGGGTTTTCAACCTCCAAATGGTTAAATCTGGTTCATATGTATGTCAGACATGAAAAAGAATGAAAATGTGCTGAGAAAAAACATGTAAAACAATACATTTGAAGCCATATCCAACAACCATTAATTTTAAACTTACATGTAATAATTAGCGAAAAAAAAAAACTGTGTCACCGCTGAACTCACTTTGAGTTCTCACTCACAAGAAGCAGCACAGGTATTATAGGTAGCAGCCCTGTATAAAAAACAAGCTGTGCAGGGGTAAGCAGGGCTTGTTGGGCATGTTGAACAGTGTCAGTGCACTGGCGTCCAGAGCACCCACACTGCACAACCGCTCACAAAGCGATAACCACAGAAGGATGAGGCAACTATGAGCGTCTCAGCAGCAGTTTGAATATCAGCTTCTCCTCAAGATATGCATGCTCTTTTCCCTACTCTGCACAAACAAACAATTGCTGAGCACAAAGTAAATCTTCTCTGCCTTTTCTGCTGCACTATGTTGTAACATTTGACAATTAGCTTAAGAGCCAATAAACTACCTTTTTCAGTATTACCAGAGTTAAATCATATAAAACGCAGCAACTTCACGTATTTGATTATAAGACTAAGGTTGGCAGAAATAATTTCTTTATGAATTATTATTTAAATGACTAGTGAGCTAGTGTGACAGTAAGGCACATGAAAAATATATTTAAAGATGTGCGGTGAAATTAATCTATGTATTAAGCAGATGTCTTAGTCATTAAAAACATACATGACTATTTCTTTGTGTGGATTGTATCTTTCCCCCCTTGTCTGTTTCTTTTTTTACTTAACCTTTGTTGTAATTTTTTCCAAATTACTTTGAATGTCTGCCTCTCTTCTGTAGACCTCTTCACTTTTTCTATACATCACATTTTCATCTTCCTTGCAAATATTTTTTCTATTTTCTCCTCTATTTCTTCTCCCACCACCATCTCCAAATCTTGTCTATACATTGTTCCTCCATATTTAGTAAATTTATTTTATCCCTTTGACCACTACTTCTATCCACACACTGTTACAAATATGGTAACTTTTCTTACAAAATGAAAAAAACAAACCCATACCACACTACCTAACAGATAATATGTCCAAGCAAGAACAAACCAGTTCAGCACGTGAGAAAGGTAATGTAATCTAGCTAACTTGTGTAGCAAATATTGAAAACAACCATGAACAGATAATTTTTAGTAAATAGTGTAGGGAGGCATGAAGAATATTTTTTTTTCTGCACTAAAAAAAATCATTTTATAAAAAAAAAAAATTATTTTGTTCTGCCTCATACTCGATAGCAGCCACAGTAGAATTCAAAGAATATACAAAATCATGTACTTTGTGACAGTGGTCTTTAAAAACATGGAAAAGAAAGTGAATGTGAATTGAAGAGAATGGAAAAATGAGAACAAAAATTGAGAGAAAAGTGAGAGAAAATACAGAAACCTCATATTCTTGTATCTTGGATTTTTGCCACAGATGTCATTAATTCCAACCAACCAAGCAGACCAAAAGAAAAGAAAAGAAAAAAAACGAACAAAAAAAACCAAACGAGAACTAGCTTCTATTTAAAACAGTGTTTAGTTGGTAATTTTAATGTCAAACCTATAGCATACTTGTTTACTTTTTATAACATGACTAACTCCCCTACAGACATTCATTCTACAACACTGGCACTTTGAACAGACTCCAGTCAAAGTGTGCCTAAGATTATAGATTCATTATCTTTCTTCCATTTCCTCCAGAGAAAAAATAAACCTGTATTTCAGATTCAGAAATTCATATGAAATTTTTCTCAGACACATAACCCAGTCCATAAACCTTCTCAGCCTCGTTTGTTATCAACAGACATTAAGGAAGGGATAATGAAATTAGAAATCTCCTCTTAACTACAGACTCCCCTCTTTCATATTTTGAACCTCCCAGGCACCAGGCCCAATTTTCACTATTCAAAAAGCAAAATATTTGCTCTTCAGCTATATTATTACAGTTACAGGAACAAATTGTTGCTGGCAGAGACAATTTAGTTGCATCTTTAAAAAGGTATGAATCCACATTACCAAGGAAAGCACCAGTTATTTTGTTTATCTCCCTCCCACTCCCCAGGTCCTCACAGAATTTGAGCAAGCGGCTCCTTTGAGTCTTCCTTCCAGCTCATTATTATTTGTTTAACATTCATCAAGACCAAGTCCATATTTGAAGAACACCCTTAGAAATTCTACCTATCTGAAAGAGGCTATTGGCTCTTACAGAGTGAAAAATTCACATATATACACTCTCACAAAAACTCAAAGTGCAGCTCCAGCTCTTTAAGGCATCTAATTTTTCAGTACACAAGCTACATCATGCTATTACTTAGTTTCATTATCCACTGTGCTGAAACTGGTAAGCATATGTGTATCTGTGAAGTGAAATCAAAGATCTTTGTGTCCTGTTTGGAATGGGAAGTTTACTAGCAATCTGAAGGATGAATGGGGACATCAAGGTACAAAAGTGCAACTAGCTATTTCAGATGTTTGTTCCATATTGCTAAGATGAAATTTTAAACTCAGATAAGCTACTTACTTTGCATACTTTGCAAGATAATCAGACAGATTACACTGAATCAGTTGCACACTAATTACTTACCTCCACAACTGACCCACTTAACAGTTTAAATCAATCAAAAGGCAAATACATCCTATCAATCACTAAGCAGCAAACTCACCTGAGTAGTCTACAAAGTCATCTACTGCAGCAGTAGTGAAACACTGTTTACCTAAGTTATACCTGCATGGAAAAAATCCTGTTATGTTTCAAAGCATTTTTCTTGGGTACCACTTTGTATGCTCTTATCTTTTCCTCTAAGTGAATTGAACTTTTACTCTCATATCTGCTCATTTCACATACTTATAAAGAAGGGGAAAAAAACAGGAGTATTACTCAGGAGCCATGACTGCATAGAAATAAGGGTCATAAAGAAGAATTTCTGAGATACAGACAATTAAGTAAATTATCATCTGCCTTTGCCTGTGCAGCTGTTTTTGCACTTTGCTTCCTCAACCTATGAATTACCTTGTATAATAGGAGGAAGAGAGTAAAGACTGATTTTTTACACCAGAGAATACAAGCAGCATTCCTAAAAGACTACCCTACTCTGGTAGGCAAGTGAAACAGCAGAAAAAAACCAAACCTGATCAACATATGGGGCAACCTCCCACATGAGGTTATTTTGACAGACTTCACCAGATAAAAACACTCATCAGGAATTCATCTATTCCCACAGTATCTACTGGTTTTGTCTAGATACCATAAAAGACAGGCTAATGCTACACAAGAACAATCTCAACTTACATTTTGCACTGACTGCAGTTATTGTTGTTTGAATACAACAGGACAAAAGCAACATTCAATGGGCTTTTGACAGCTTGGTGCTCAGGAATTATAAAAACCTCATATAACTGAGACAACTAGAGGACACTTCCAAAGGTTTTTCCACAGACAAACTTCCAAATACAAGAAAGAAAACTGTATTCTAGAAGTGAATTTGCTCTAATGAAAGACAAAGGAATCTGATTTTACCCTTTTGCTCAGCTGGGAAGAATCAAAGAGTATCCCTTGTATACTGCTGGAGCCCAGAATGCTCCAGGCAACAGTACGTACAAAGAAACACACACTGTGACCTGGTGGAGCAAGTCTTTTGATGTTTAAGAGGACTGTCATTCCAGAATTCATTTTTATCCTTTCCCATGGCATCTCTTTAGCTACATAACAATATAATTTTTTTTTTTCTTCCCTAATAATGTCAAATTGTTTACTGGCAAAAACTACTTCCTTTTTAAATACCTTCATATCAATCTGCAGAGGAAGCAGAATCACATGCTACGTCAAAATGAAAAAAAAACTACAGATCAAAATTGAAGGGGGAAAATAGTCCTTTTTTGTCTTTCTTCAGAGTCTTCTCATGGCAGTAGGATGTTATAGTTATCTGTCAATATGTCATGTGAATAGATATAAAAAAACTTTTTAAATTAAACTTCATTTTTATCCAGT